AGAAGAGAAGAGAAGAGAAGAGAAGAGAAGAGAAGAGAAAGGAAGGAATCAACCTATTGGCAAAAGAAAAGCTAAGGTATGTAGCCTGATGTGAAAAAGATCTCTAGCCAGACACAGTGGCTCACACCTGTAATTCCAGCACTTTGGGAGGCTGAGGTGGGAGGCTTGCTTGAGATCAGCCTGAACAATATAGTGAAACCCCAACTCTAGTAAAAATTTAAAAAATTAGGCATGGTGGTGCACATGTGTAGTTCCAGATACTCTAGAGGCTGAGACCATGGAATCGCTTAAGCCTGGGAGCTCGCAGCTGCAATAAGCCATGATCATGTGACTGCACTCCAGCCTGGGCAGCAGAGTAAGACTCTGTTTCAAAAAAAAAGAATTCCTCAAAGACTTTGTAACCATAATGATCATTTTTGGTTTGGGTTAAACAGAAATAATAATACATAATTTTTTAAAAAATGATTAAAAAAAAAAGAAAAAAGTTTGTAACGAAAGATCAGCAATTAGGGGTGTTGGGTTTTGAATTTTACCATTTCTGGGGTTCAATTTGAATTTACTACCTTCGTAGCTGGATTTTACATGTATTAATGTGCAAAGAGGTTCCAAACTGGTAATAACTCTAGGACATTTGGCAGAAATAAATATCATTCTCTCTAAAAAGACACAGATACATTCAAGCCAGGCCTTACATATTACCCACAGACTAAGCCCTCTAAAAATAAGCTCCCAATGAAAAACTGCAATAACACAAGAAGAAACTCCAGTAAGACTCAAAAAAAACCTTTAAAGTGATAAAAACATAAAGGGAAAAATAAAACTCTTGAGACCAATGTTGTCAAAAAAGGACTGGGAAGACTTGTAAAAGAACCAAATAATATTCATGAAAATTAAAAATATAATTACTGAAATTTAAAATTCATTGGGTGAGTTAAAGAGCTGACACAACTTAGCTGAGAAGAGAATCAACAAATGAATATGTACCTGAAGAAATTACATGGGTCATTTATGTGGTACTTGAGCAGGGAATTTGAATTCCTGAGCTCCTTCTTTTCTTTCAATACTTTGTTCAGTGACATTAGGAAGCAACAAGCCAACCTAATTATATTCATTTGATTTCCAGAAATGTTTGAGAGTATCATATGCACAATTATCAGCTCCTTGCTTCTTACACGTGGTTGATCGGGAACATCCAATTGAGATATTTGGCATATCTCTATTGCCAGATCACACCATGAAACATCAGTGCTCTTTTTAGCACTGAAAAAAGAGTCATTTGCATCTTTAAATCTAATCACATTAGAAAGCCAATTCTAGAAACCCAAGAACCAATTCTAAAAACTCATCCTTAAAATTCTTTTCCTATAGAACCACTCTTGGTACCAAAATCTGTATTAGTCTGGGTTCTCCAGAGAAAAAGAACCAATAAGATATGTGTAACTATCTATCTATCCAACCATCTATCTATTCATCCATCCATCCATCCATCCATCTAACCATCCATCCATCCATCCATTAGATATATATTGAGAGACAAAGATAATTACTTTAAGGAACTGGTTCATGCAATAATAAAAGCCAAGAAGTCCAAGACCTGTTGGCCAACTGGAGACCCCAGAGAGCTGGTGGTATAGTTCCAGTGCAAATCTGAGTCCAGAGGCAAGAGAAAATTGATGTCCAGATCAAAGGCAGTTAATTCATTCTTAGGGCTTATATGACATTTTATTTATTACAACTACTTAATTTTTTTTTCAATGCTGTACTTTCAATAAGAAGGGAAAGACAATTGTATGCAGACAGAAAGGGGATTTATATTTGTTGTGCATTTCTGTGTGCTAGGCATTTTATTTTAACTCTTAGAAGAACCCTGCTATTTGCCAGTTATTATCTTAATTTAAAGACGGGGGAATCTAGCTGCATACCATTTTCTAGTTCTATCTGGGTTATGGTTGCTGCATTAAATACAGGATGGCCAATTAAATTTTTATTTCTGATGAAGAACAAATAATTTTTTTGTATTAGTATTTGCCACATATTACACAGGACATACACTAAAAATAACCACTATTTTTATCTTAAATTCAAATTTGACATACTTACACTAAAAATAACCACTATGTTTATCTTAAATTCAAATTTAACTGGGCATCCTTTATTATTATTTGCTAATTCCACCAACCCTATCCTTGATTGGGTCCTGCATTGCCTTATGCTGGTCCTCTCTCTCCTTTATTCCTGAAGATAGACCTTCACTCCTGACACCTGATCATCCAGTCTCTGATCATCTGCCTGTCACTAGGATCACCATGTGTTGACAGCTCCATACACACACCATGTGTTCTACCTACCTGCAGGATTCCCACCAGGTTAGAATTCTTTCATGCTCACCATCTGGCCGGGATGCATCTGGTGGAACCCCTGGACTATAGTCAAATTCTCTGGAGACCACGACCTAGCACATCCAGCTATGTGACAGTCTGTACTTCACACTATCCAGAACCCACACCAACCTGGTGGCTATGCTCCTGAGTGAGCTTTCAACCAGCAAACAAACCACTCCACATTCCATACAACATAAGCTATTGTGGGGAGGTACAACTGTGGATAAATAACTAACCAACAACCCATAAAGGCATGTTACAACTCAGGGGAAGCAGGAAGATACCCATAAAGGGAGAGTAGATGGACTTTGTGTTCAACAGTTTTTCTACATTGATAAGGCTATATTCATGTTTATGAAATCAGTGAATTCCAGAAAGCTGGAAGACATAGCTGACTTATGGAATATTGGAATCAGAACCAAAATCAACAAGATGAAATTGAACAGGAATAACAAAAACTGTTATGCTAAGGTTAAGATTAGTAGTGACATAACGCAGAACATCC